TACTGTTGGTATAGCAAATGGCAATGGTTCAGCTGAGATTTTGGTCAGTTGAAACACTCAAGAAGCAGAATTAATTCCACTAGGCCACCAGGGTACTATTTAATACATGGTGCTAATTACTGGACAGAAAAAGAATATACTATTTTCAGAGAGGGCTAATGACTCTCTAAGGACAGCAATTAAGAAAGTTTGAGTCTGCGTGTGAAGTTGCTTGCTATGTCCTGTGAGATCATTAGGGGAAAGCCATCATTGAAAATGCCACATGAATGTCAGCCCTATATCATTCTTGAATTCCTAAATGCCATCAGAACTAAAAAGACACAAACTTGAACCAAGATAACAAATTTCAAGATAACCAACAATATAAAATAATGTTGAAAATTGCTGGAGACAATAAAACACTAAAAAATCTTTCTAAGGATATGAGTATTTGCAAAGTATTTTTGAGATAGTGGAAAATCATCTTTATAATCTCTTTAGAACAATCTTGCAAGGAAGTTGAAATGCTGTTTTTTATTGTGACATGAAATTCAGGGTATGAAATGGGTCAAGTCAGGTCAAAGTTACTTAAAGTCATCAAATCAAGTAACTCAAAGATTTTCTATGACAAGCACATCAAAAAGCATCACAATATTCTGGCATGAATTTCTGTCAAATTCCATAATGAAAATTTCATAGTTTTTCTTTCTCAGAAGTTTGATAATATCCAAGTGTTTACTTACTTGTGTTTTATAATATTCGTCATTTCCATAAACTCCCTATTGCAGGTTTAACGTGTGCACATCACACTGAAATGTAGAGGCAAGCAAACACAAAAGAGGCAGACAACCTTTCAGAGTCTTGTTTAATCCACAAGTATCTCTCCCCTGAATTTATGAAACTACATTCCATACGATTAGTTATAACTTTTATAATGATTAGATTACTTCTCAATCAAGGCATTAAGACATTGGTCACAAATGTGACCAATTAGCCGGTTTCTCTTCACCTTGTCACCACCAGAATGCAGATATGCAGTATTTTGCCTGGATTATTTGCAACATCTTCCAAAACCTTCCCTGCCCCGTCTGTACTCCCTACTACCTGTTATACCCAGAGAAACAGTAAAGTCACAATTAGCAGTCTCCTCCAGGGCTTCCCTACTGCTTCCAGAATAAGATAAAAACTTCCTTAATATGTCCACAGAAAGCACACGACCTGGACATTACGGAAGTATGCTTTCCCAACATTGTGAAAACATTGCTATTTAGCCTCCAGCCTTAGGAAAAAGTTTATGTTTTTCTTGCATAGGAGATATTTCATATGCTCCCTGCTAATCCCTGTCTCTCCTTTCAGTTTCAAAGGTCATGCTGCTTCTTCCAGGAAACTTCTTCCTCCCAAACAAAAATCAGAAGCATCGTGCAGGAGACATCAGGTAACCTTTGCTTTGTTTTCCTCTGATGGTTCGTCTGAGATGGCTTCATTACATAGCTACCTTATTCTAGGCACTTGAGATAAATCAATGGAAAAGTTAAGAAAAAAATTGACACTCTCAAGCAGAAGAAAGGAGAAAATGAATAATGGAATGAATGTATCGGTAATAAAATACCACGCACTAGAAGGTCAGAATGAGGCAGATACTGGAGCCAAGGAAGGGAACTGGCTGACAAGGCGATGGTACAGACTCCAGTTGTACATAAATAACCCATGTTGGCTTCCTTGAGTAAATGCCATTTGATTAAAGTCAGAAAAAAAAATGCAAGTAGGTTATACATGCACAAATTGAAAGGAAGAGCAATCTAAAAACATGGTACAGCCAATGCAAAGACTCCAGGGTGTGCAGACTGCTCTAAGACAGTTTCCATCAATGCTATCAAGTAATGGCCTGTTTGTGGCCTGCGGACCACACACTGCTTGAAAGACAGAATTCTGGCTTTTTTCTGATGCCTACAACAAGATCAGCTATCAATTAGATATTCAATAAACCTATATTGACATATTAAAAGATACATGACTGAATGAATGTTTCCTCTACGTATCAAATCAGGGGAAGTGAGATTTAAAATCTCACTGTCACGATTCTGTTTAGTTTTGTAATAGTATATAACACTACAGATATTTTGCTATTTAGGGCCAGGCATTGTGGTGGAGCTAGTAAAACTGCCCCCTGAAGTGCCAGCACACTCTGAAGGGGCTGGCTGCCCCATTTTTGATGCAGCTCCCTATTAATGGCCTAAAAAAAGCAGTGAAACATGACCCAACTATTTGGGTCACTGCCATCCACAGCAGAGACCTGAATGAAGCTGCTGGCATCAACCTGGCTTAATGCTGGATGTTGTGGCCATGCGGGTAGAGTCTGTCGGTGGGAGGTCTCTCCCACTCTCTCTTTTACTCTGTCTTTTTCATCTCTCTCTTCTGCTCTTCCTCTCACTCTCTTTTTTGTTCTCCCTTCCTGTCTAAACTCTTTCAAAATAAATAAGCTTTAGAGATTGAAACACATTTGATGAATATTAAAATATGCTAGATTTTGAAACTTCTTTATATTTTATTTAGGCTTATCGCATAAAATTTTCTTGAATTATGAAACTATGGAAGACTAATTTTTGTATCTCTGTGCATGTTTTTTCCCGCAAGCAGCACCTGTCCCTCTCCTCTGCCCAACCACATGCAAAATCCAACTTAGGTTATCCCTGCTGATGAAAGCTTTTCTTGGCCTCTCTTTCTCCCATGCTCCTAATCATAGGCAGGGAACTGTATATTTGGGAGTCATCCTTGCCTGCTGCATTTGATTACTGGTGCGTAATCACCTCTGCTTGACAATGGGCTCTCTAGAGTAGAAGCCAGCATTTATCAATTGTTTAAACACGTTTAATTCTTGCCCAAGTAGTTCATGTGTACTATACATCTGTATTAGGTTGAACTCCTACTGAAAGATGCATTCTTTCCACAGATTTCAAAATTTTATCAAATCTGAAAGATGTTATAAAATATAGTTCTGGAATTAACATAAAGGTTTACAAATGTTGAGATTGAAATAGACCTTGGCAACTGGCTGAAATTCTCTAAACTTGGCAAATACAGTGTGAGACAAACTAGCTTTTGTTGGCATCCAAGGCTATGAAAATTCTTAGTAAATATTTAGTCTTTGCAACTACCTGAGAATTAATGTACATATTTATATGGTATAGAAGGGATCATTAGACACAGAATTAGAAAGTGATTTACAGGTTAAAATTCAGCATTTCCCAATCTATGTCTTTTGCAACACTTGACAACGAAGACACATCATAATCTTTTTGAAAATTGGCAAAAGTAACCCAAAAGGAGACCTTTGTGGAAGGAAAATGCAACACCAAGAAGAGAACAAAGAAAGATCATCACACAGATTCTCAAGGTTTGGCACTAGGTTTTGGTGCAAAGATAGAGACTGCTTTCCCAAAGATTCTCATAGCCCATAGGCACCTTGCATTTTAGCACATGATACATGAACTTGAATAATGGTACAACTTATAAGAAAAGAATGTCTCCTTTGCTTTTGCACTTCTCACAGCAGGCAGCAGTTGGGAGGTAACATGATAACTACTGGAGCGGTCCCTAGGAGCATGTGGATGAATGCCACAAGCACAGAGCCCAAAACGACACAGTTTCTTAGGGGATGGGAGGCTGTGATTCCACAGAGCAGGATCAGTGGTCACATGCCTACTGGGTCCAGACAGAGACTTCCTCTGACACTAACTGGGGGTCTAAGTGTTGTAAAAGTAGCTACCACTAGACCATGCTATAAACAATCCCTCAAGGCTGAATTGAGGTCATCTAAGGAAGTCACCTAGTTTTTAGGAAAAATTAACTCGGTGCTATTCTTCAACATCCTATGGGATGCTTTTCTGAAATTAAAAAGATCTATTTATACACCAAACAGAGAGAACTTCAAAGTCACAGAGAGATCTAAATTTATAATCAAACAATGTAGGCTATATGATCAGGTGCAACCATGACAGTTAACTGAGATAGTTTTGTTGCTGATGAACTCATATGCAGTCCAGTTCAGAATAAAAATATTAAAATCACTACATATCTGAAAACATTCTGCATGTTTTTCTCAGTTTTCACAAAGGATATGAATATCATCCCCACCTTGAATTTGCTTACTCCTCAAACCTGTTAGCCAGGCTTGTACCCACATTCTCCATGAGGTCAACAAACAGAAGAAGCACGAATCATCTTTCTCTCAAATGGATATACACAGAATAAAACACAAATCAACCAAAAAGACTTCATCATGTCCAAATTACTGGAATACAAACATGAGTCTGGTTTGCTGAGGTACTAGGACCTAACGTTTAATAATTCATGATTTGATTTCATGAAACAGAGCACTTATATCTCTAATGATTTAAACAAATTGAGAAAGCTTTATTTTGTTTGTGTCCCAGAGACTTATCCACACACACACACACACACACACACAGGTATATATAGAGGTATACACACAAGAAATCTTCAACCACCTAATAAATGTGCATAAATGTCCACTTTCCAGGACTCTTCTTTAATATTCCCTATACCTCTTTGGGCAGGCAGTTGTATGTTTATGGATTGACCTGTCTACAAGAGAGATTTGTTAAGATTAGATATAATCTGATGTCTGTTGTTCCTCAATTTGTTTGCAAATGCAATTTCAAGACAGTAGGGAAAAATTTCTCTGAATTTTCAGGTCTCAGCTTTAAAATCACCTCCTTAAACAGAACTTCCAGGAACACATGATTTCAAATAGTCTTGTCCACTATGTGTCTGAGTTTGCTGTTACATAAAAATGGCAAAACAGCTAAGGAATTTAGGCAGAAGGAAGCAGACTAGCCAAGAGGGTTAAAGCGCCACAGTTGTTTAAACCACCAATTTTGACAAATATTTTTCACTGTCACATTAATAATTGTGCCCTCGATTCTCTTTTGGAGCTTTGCCCTCCAACCTCTACTCCCCGGCTCTTGCATCAGAACGGAAAAGCAGAAATGCAGGCAGACCTTGATTGTGGTTGTGTGTGCTCCAGGGTACTCCTTTTCTTCCAGGGTTGACCATCTTTCTATAAACTTAGATACCAAGGAATCATCATAGTCCACGATCTGAAATCCAGACACGTTCGCACCTCCAAACTGAATCTTTAATAGGTCTCCATCAGTAAATCCCTAGACATAAAACAGATTCTGTCATGCTCTCTGTCTGGGAAATGCTTGGAAGTTAACATCAACCGATCAACCCTGTAAATTATGATTTTACATATTGCAAAGGACATATTGTAAAGCTTCCGGAGAATGTTCCTAAGGAACATTTTCAGAAACACTAAAAACCAGTATGGATCTTCACTCACCAACACATAGAATATCTTTTTCTATGATATTGGTAAAATTAAAAAATACTTTCATAATTTTTATCTGGGGAGCATAATTATTGGCTGTTTACTGGCTAAGAATTTTGTTTTCTGTTTTCATCAAATAATGTAAATAGCTCAAAAAAAGTGTATGACAGAAAATTCCTAAATTCTCTGTACTACTGCACATACTGCATGACCAGTTACATTCTTCAAAACATGTAATTTCCATACATATGTGTTTTTCACTTGTTTACTTTAATTGCTCTTTCTTACATTATTTAACATGACATTATTGTTGTTTTGTTATGCCAGGTGTGTATATAACTTATTTCCATGAGTAAGCCACTTATTTTAAGCAATATTTCGTCTACACATTTGTAACTCTGTAGTCACAGTGGTCAAATAATATACAAGAATTTAGCTTTCTTTCTTGAACAGTATTCTCCCCCAGAGTTAATCGATGCTTCCGTTTCTCCATTATGTGCCTTTATATACTTTAAGCTTGCTTTCTTCCAGCTTCTCATACATTTCAAGTTATCCATTTCACTGACTCCTTGGATATTTGATTGTTATGAAATCCTGTTAGTGAATCAGCTCCTGTCTCATGCCATGTTACAGCAGCGTCCTCACGTTGGCCCTGGCCGTTGTCCGAGCTAAATTCTCTGTTCCCTAGGTTGCGCTTTTCTTTCATGCTTTCTTCCTTTTCTTTGCTAGAGTTCCTCAATATTTTGAAGGAAATTCCCAGGAAGTGCAGCACTATACAGAGTGTTAGACTCAGTGATTCACAAGGGAGTCCATATTGGGAGCAAATCAAGTTTTCAGAAAAGGAAAAACGGAACCTGAGTTCAGAACAAATATTGGATAAACATCTCCCTAGAAACATGACAGCAGCATCAACTTGCGTTTTTTGGTTTTGTTTTCTTCTTTGGATCGCTCAAGTACTTCTATCCTCCATTTTGTCAGATATTAATTCTGAAATTGATGAGCCACCTTCTGTTACTATTTCATAATGTTCCATTATAAGCTTCTCCATCTGGACATTTTTAAAGATCACAGCTCTCAATGTGGCTGTGTGCTGTTCATCAAATGGCACCGGTCACACAGGGGACTGCCTGTCCTGAACCAAACGTGGTTCCAGGAGACTGCCTAGAGAGGTTCATTTGTTTTAACTCTTGCCTCTCCATGAGGATTCCTTTAAGACCTCCTTCTTAGCCTTCAAGGGCTGGTCCTAGGTGATGCTTGCAGTTGCTAACTGCAAAACTTTCATCAGGTCAGCCCACTTCTCCCAATGGCAGGTAGGTTTAAGTTTCAGTGTTCTATGTAACTGATATAATGTCACAAAGAAAATATTTGTCAGTTTTAAGGTTGTAACAGAACATATGACATATGACATAGATGTCTGTCCACACAGACATGAGAGATTTCTGGAGTCAGTCTTGATTTGATGTTTCGAATAAACTCTTCAACTGAGAAATGTAGGATACCAATATCCTTGATAGTTCCAGGTTCTCTTAGTTTTATCTTAAAATGTACTCTCAGAAAGTACACTTATTTCAGATATTATATATACATCAAACACTTCTCTGAAAATCTCCCTTTACCTAAAATATATTTTCTAAGATTATTTATAACAATTTTTAAATTTCATTCTAAAAATTCTTACATGATTTATAATGTAGGAAATTTATTAGGCAATGGCAAGAGAGTTAACAAAACACAAGGCAAAAAAAATGTTATCACTTGTAATACATCAGATACAACTAAAGCATATCTTTAAAGTACCATGAATAAATACTGACCATGAAAATTATTTTCATATTAATTATATCTCTCGTGAAAGAATAAACACTAATCATTTACTTACTAGATTTGCAATGATATAGTGGTACCCTTTAACGTGTTTTCCAATGGTAATAACCTAATAAAGATGAAAAAAGTTATTTAATAAATGTAAACAATACAGGTGTATAATTGTAGTATCATAGTCTGGCTCATGACAAAATGAATTTTACCTACAATGTTTCTGACATTTCACACAGTCATTTCTGATAAAATGTAATTTTGAAATCCAGGAAACGCTTGTCTCAGAAAAGTAATAATGTATTATAATGCCTAATGAATGTCATCTTTCAAAAATTCAATAACTAAACTGAAATATTCGCTTCATTTTGTTAGTAGTAAAAAATGCTAAGAGGCATGACACCAAAATATGCTTACCTTGTAGGAAACCCAGGTTGTAATCCTGCAAATACCGTGCCAATTTTCATTGTAAAATCACAGTTAAGTAGCTCAAATCAACAGCTGAGCTTTCATGCTCTTATGTGTCTTCTCGATGTTATAAGACACAGCATGTTAATGATATGTAAATCCTTACGTTGTCTGTTCCTACCCTGTCCTGATACACTTAAGCAGAGGAATGGCAGACTCATGACTGCTGCTGCAAGACTGTTACAACACAGGGGGACACAGTTAGGAAGGGAGGGTGGGGGGCGAGGCTGGACTGTTACAACATAGGGGGACACAGTTAGGAAGGGAGGGTGGGGGGCGAGGCTGGACTGTTACAACACAGGGGGACACAGTTAGGAAGGGAGGGTGGAGGGCGAGGCTGGAGATCCCTGAGCCTGAAGAACTGTATCGTGAAAAATAAAAATTAAAACAATTAATAATCTGTTAATTCAAAAAGAATACGAACGTGCAGATGAAAGAATTCTTATTTGGTTATATGAAATACCATTTCTGTTTTGCTTATGTGTGGTTTAGTTTAGGTGGACAGGATAACTACATGATATAGCAAAATGTCCCAGAAACGAGTTTTTTTCCATGAATCTGAGTCTAGATGTGTGTCAAGGTAAGCGTAACTGGGAAGTGGCCATGCTCCTGATGCACACAGCAGTGCCCGGCGTAATTGCTCCTGTCTCAGCGCTCATTGCAAAGAGAGGAGAAACTGGTGCAACGGCGTGCTTAGACCTGGAGCACAGAGAGGCCAGTGGGATTTTGTTTGATGAGAATATTCACACAACAGAAAGCATGAGACGCCAAGGCTACTGACAAAAAGTCAAGTTACCAGCCGCCTTCCCCGATTAAACACTTGCGGTGACAGCCCACTTTTTTCCCACAAGTGAGTAAACTTTAGCAAATCAGGGAAACTCTTCCTAGGCAGCTGCCAGGCTCTGGAGGCCCAGCTCTGCCGCTCTCCAGACAGTCAAGGCACATTGGACGTGCAGCAGAAATGCTCTGACATCACCTCGGGACTTTGTGTATTCTGACTCTCCAGCCTGGAAAGTTCGCCCCAGCACCACAGCCTTCCGTGCATCGACTCCCAAAGCACATTTGGCTCTCACACCAATCATCACCACCTGACTTGGCCTCCTCCCCGATAGGCAGGCGCTTGGAAGGCGCACTTAAAGAGTGAGGACGGAGCCCTAGGAAGGATTCCATCATGTGCCGCTTGGATATTAAGGGGTGGCTGTTTGGAAGCACAGTGTTGCTAAAGTGTTCTTATGTGATCCAGGTGAACTGACACTGACCAGTGTCGACGTGAGAGTGCTGAACAAATGATGTCCTTCTGAAGAAAGACATTCACGTTATCTCTAGCTGGATCAGGATGAGCATGTCCCCCGAATTTCCCACTGACACTTGCTGGCTCTGCTTACGGTGCAGTCTGCTGCTGGAATCACTCATGGCTTTTTTTTTTCTCTTGGAATTAAGAAACATAAATGGTGATATCAGTAGTCACCACTTGATCTTAGTGTTCATATGCACATTCAGTAACGTACCTGTTAAGTGAGCATCAGCTGCATCAAACAGCGGAACTTTGTCTGTAATACCTAGCAATGCACTAATTATAGAAAAGCTTACATTAATTATAAATGTCTGTGACCGCTAAATCATTTCCCAGTCCAATCACAGATAGAAACAAAGTGCCTCCAAACTTTATCAGATAACAATAAAAATTGTCATAGTCTAGGATAGTTTAACACTATGCTAACCTCATGCCACTGTGCAAATAAAAACCCTTGTTGCATCTCCACTCCCTTATAAATATTGGTTGAATAAATAATTGAATAGAAAAATCATTTTCTTGGAATGTACTCTATCAATTTCTATCCGGTAAACTATTTGTTGAAATGATCTCAAGCTAAGTCATTTCTTTCTATAATTTGTCTCATAACAATTCTAGTCATTCATAGTGCATTGCAATATCAAAATTATATATTATTTTCTATAAACACATAACTGATTGTCACCTAGATGCTTTAACCTTGCTTTCTTAGCTGTCACAGTCTGGCTTGTAGACACTGCAGACTACTTGTTAAACAAGTTAATGGTAACTCCATTTCTGTGAGTCCTTTGCAGATAACTCTTCCTTTTTACTTAAGGACTGTTCCTTGTCCAACCACTCTGTAGGGTAACTTGTAACATCGTGATGTGAGTGTCACATTTTCCCCACTCTAATCCATGAATTCATGCAGCAGGTCATCTTCCTCCTATCTCATTTTGCATCACACGTTTCAGTTACAGAAAATTGCCTCAGTAATGATTTGTTAAATGCTACATCAGTCATCGAGTGAACTCACTGAACACATTTTAGAGTGTCTTAATATATATATATGTCTGCAGAATACATTGGGTTTAGTTGGTGTCCATTTAGACACATTTGTATGTATGACTACAGATTTGTTTGAAACACTGTTTGCCATGTTTTCCAAGTCTCTTCTAGTTTTGGAATTGTGTGTGTGTGTGTGTGTGTGTGTGTGTGTGTGTGTGTGCATGTGCACACACATTGGCATGTATGTTTTAGTAGGCTTTCAACAGCATATATTCTGACTCAGAAATACATTTTTAGACCAGACGAATGAATATTATTAAAATTCAGTTTCAATGAGGGCCTCCTAGGAGATTCAAATCAGTGTTCCAAAGCTAACATGAGAGCAAGATACCTTCAGGTTCAAACTAATCCTAAATCCATCTCCTGAAACTAGAATCAACAATCTTGACTGATACTATTCAGCTCTCAAGCATACAACATTTATTTCTTTCTCATAAATGCATTTCAACTAGGACTTCATAAACATTTATTTTGGCAGAATATTTAATGCTGTACTAATTCATGAGTCAGTTAATGCCTAGTCAGACGAAGAAATGCTTGCCCTGCTGTTTGTTTAGTTTCCTTCCATTCCGATTTAGTTCAAGGAACTAGGACCATCAAGCATAGATACTACTAGTGCAGACACAACTGCTCCTCTCTTGGCAAGGTAATATGCAGATCTTACTGGGCAAGTCAGGGTGCCTTGTTAACACCTTGTTAACTATGGTTTCCAATAGTGCACGTAGTTTGAATGTGTCATTCCTACACATTTAAGTTCCACACATTAGTTTGCTTTTATAGTGGTACTTGAAAAAAAAACTTTCAAAAATAAATATACACATGTTCTGGAGTCCTACAGACCCATCTGGACAACAGCATGCATGCAATGAAACTTGATAACTACTCACGAGTCCAAAAATGCCCATGAATTATTCAGTTTGCCTTAGAACTCGGACTTATTATGACTTGATAGATGTCTATTTCTTTATCTTTAAACAGTTAAACAGGATTAAATTTAAAATTTCCAATTCAAATACCAAACATACTTGTTGTACAAACATTGAAGCATTCAGTATGTGTGCAAAGAATGGCATATTGAATGCGCTGAATGATTCGACACTATGTCAGCGTAACCGACAGCTGTCTGCCATTGCTAACCAAAGCCAGGTATAATTTAATTGATGAGCTTTTATGCATCCTCCACAAATCGTAATATCCAAAGTGCTGTTCCAGCACCTTACACAACTGCTCTTGGCAAATGCTGACGCTGCACACATACTATATTTGGTGCCATTAGAAAATAGAGCATAGCGAACCTGGTCTACAATGTCGTTCACTTTATCCCGTTCACAGTCCAGGATTACACGCCGTTCTTTTTTTAACTCCAGATCTTGGAACAGCGATCGGTAGGTCTCATCTTTCTTGTCGTTGTTAATGTTTCCCACATTGATAGCAGTCACTTGCCATTTCTTTTCAGCAGCAGAATCCAGCACAGCTTGCAGAGTTGACAAGCCTAGGGAGGCCAAAAAAAGCGATTACCGATAAAGAGGCCTGAATCGCTCGGAATTGTGTTGTGAGAATCGCCGGCTCGTGTATTTTGAAGAAGGACGTGCTTTGTGCAGCAGTTGTTGTGTTCAATGACACAGCAACCAATTTGAAGAAAATCTCTTTAAAGATGGGCCAGTTGGTTATTAACCAAAGGCTTAAACCTTAGGATAACTAAGAGAACGATGATGCTGTAAAGGAAGTTACGGGGAGGAGCTTTCTCAACCTCGAGTTATGTCCACTTTATTTCAAAAACTCCTCATTTAAATGCTACAATTCATTGTTTCCATGAAAAAATATATACTTATTTCTTTCAACTCAGCTGTCCTTTGGGGTCTGACTAAGGCTTAACACCTATAACACGTGTGATTTAAGAGGAAGCAGGGATGTCACACACACCCCTTACTCTTAGACAATGGAAAAGATAATAACAGAATTCTCAAGAAGAGCTCGTTTTTGGTGAGCTCCACTGAGAAGTCATAATTGCCATTTAGTATTTGGCAAACAGTACTTAAGCTTGTAATTCACATCATCTCTCGCCAGCTCTCAGTCACGGCCTGGCTCCTATGTGGTTGTTGCAAGCATTTGGAAAGTGAACTAGAGATAGGAGAGTCCTCTCCCCACCCTTTCCTTTTATTCCTTTCTTTTTTAAAGATTTATTTATTATTTATTTATTGGAAAGCCAGATATACAGAGAGAAAGATCTTCTGTTCACTGGTTCACTCCTCAAGTGGCCACAGCAGACAGCAGAGCCAGAAGCCAGGAGCCAGGAGCTTGTTGTGGATCTCCCATGCAGGTGAAGGGTCTCAAGGCCTTGGGTCATGATTGACTGCTTTCTCAGGCCACAAGAGAGGTGGACGGCAAGTGGAGCATGAACCAGCACCCACATGGGATCCTCGCAGCCCATACAGTAAGGCAAGGACTTTAGTCACAAGGCTAATGCATCAAACCCCTCTTCCCTCCTTCTACCTCCCTGCTTTTCTTTTTTTCTTTGCATTTGAGAATTTCAGGAAATTAATTAATCATTTTGAAAACTTATAAAAAATGAAGCAAGCATTTCCGGGTCTGTACTAGATGCATTATACTCAAAGTCCCAATAAGTTAAACTCTGGAAACTCCAGCTAAAAGATGATATGAGGTACATATTTTAAATTCATATTCTAAAACAACCTTACAATTCATTATCATTTTGTAACATCTAGTGAAATAATGAATAAAGGCGAAAATTATCAACTTTAGATCACAACATGAAAAGGGGGGCAGCAGAGATCATTCATCTCCAAATGATTATAGTCAGGAAACTTTATTCATTATTTGTGCCAACAGTGTAATCCCGAGTCCAAGATCTAAACTGAGCAAATAATTGCTAGAGAATGTACAGCAACATAGAGTTACAATAACCAAATTGCTACCACAGGAAACAACATTCCAAAAGACAAGAAAGAAAAATAATTTATCCAATATATGACATATTAGACTTTGAAGAAATAGTGGAAACTATATGGTGATAATAATAAATAATCGTCCAGGTATAATGTTATTACGGTTATGAGAATCATTTTTAGAAATTACCACTGAAATGGTCACAGATGAATCTACCTGATGTGAGAGATTTATTTCTAAATAACTGCAAGAACGAGCGATGCCCAGGACTGGACCAGGAGTAAAGCAGAGGCCTGGAGCTTCTTCTGGGTCGTCTACCTGAAGAGCAGGGATCCAAGCAGACGGGCCATCCTCTGCTTTCCCAGGAACAGTAGCAGTGAGCTAGTTTGGAAATGGAGCATCTGGGACTTGAACTTGCATCCTTATAGGATATGTTGCAGGCAGCATTTTTTTTATTATGCCACAATATTTGTCCCTACTTTGTTATTTTAAAAGTCCATGATAAATATTAAGCTATTTTAATTTTATTTCAAAATGGAAAATCAAACCATACTTTGAACGTCAGGTTACAAAAATAGACAGATCAAAGATACATGCAATAACAAAATTGGTCTCCTGTATCTAGTCTTGGAATAAAAAATATAAACATGAGTTTTACAAAGGACAGTTTAAACAGACTACACGCCATTGGCATTTTGTTAGTAATAAAAGTTGGAAATGTTTGATTGGCAGACACTAGGTTAAAGCTAGAGAGAAACAAGATGTTTGGATTTCTACTGAACAGGAGGGTGATAACATTAAAGATTTATTTCTCTCACAAAGCAGCTGAAAAACACAATTTTGAGGTATTTTCATTGCAAACATAGGTTAGGAACTGAAAAAAAAATACATTGACCCTGATTCAAGTCAGAGGATATACACACACACGAAAACATCACCTTGAAAGATGTACAATTTTTCTATTTCTGCTGAATTTTTTCAGTAAAATTAAAAAAAAGAAATCAGAGATGGCTGGATGACTTCCATTGAGCACAGGTAATTAATCCTTCCATGCTAGAATTCAAATCCTCTTCCTGGTTTTCACTACCAGAAGATACGGAGCACACATAGCTGTCCATCATGGTCATTTCAGTGACTGGCCATGTACTTGGATACAGTGTTAAGGCTAGCCAACTTTCACTCCAAGAATGAGAAAAAAATAGAGCTACATTTCTAATTCTCTTCTTTAGGCACTACTTTCCACATTCCAATCATTTTGCAACTTCTGCTGGTCACTTTCTTAAAGATATGTTACATCTATGAATGATGCTGTACGTGCTATCCCTTTAGTATCATATATTAATTGAAGGTAAGACTTTTATTATCAGCAATGCTTTATTTCATTTTTCCTGTATGTACTTGTAGGTTTCACCACATACTAAAAATTTCAAGTGAAAATGCTCTTGATATTTTTGCGTTGCTTTTGGAATATTCACATATTGCAGAAAATTCTAATGCTACATGGCAATTTGTAAATGGATTTCATGAATAGTTTATTCTAATGCTAAAAGATGTTAGCAGTGCACCTTGTCAAAAAATATGGAAATGATGAGTAAAATCAATAAGAATGAATTTAGAAAATGACTGACACTGAAACTCATTCATTCCATGTGTCAAAAATAAACTACAGTCAGGGCATTTTCTTCACTGTTACAAATCTCAGGATTAATAGTTTGTAACCTATTGAGTCCAGCAAAGATTATATCGATTTATTAAGAAGTAAACTGCTCAAGCAGTGCCATATTGGACTTGACATATTTAGTTTAGTCAGAAGACACTGAACAATATTAAATTACTCCTTAAGGACACCCAGAGGTAACTGGCAATCCGTGACGTGATCTGGCTTGCAACTTGAAGAGACTGCCACCCTGTTCTTGGTCCTCCATGTTCTGTGGTTCTATATTTTCATCAAGAGTTACTCATCTGCTAAGACTCTCATTCAATGTGGTTTCTCCATTTCTCTCAACTAAAAGTACTGCAGTTGCTGATTCCAGTACTAAGTGCTGCTTGCTTGGTAATAAGCAGGGCATTTAAAATCTAAAAGTCAGTATGTCACAATCATAAATTTACAGGTCAGTTTTGTGTTTGTGTCCTCTTGGTGCTGGTTTCTCAAACAGGGAGGAAGTGTAACTTAGGACTCGTTAGTTCCCTTGCATAAACAGCAGGACGAAGTGTCTTTATCAGCATTCACCCCTCAATACAGAATATAAACAGTTCTATATAAGGTTATTGGTTTATTTAGAGTAATAAGTAAGTTGTAAATATTCGATTGCAGCATGTTTATTAATAAATCAGGATATTCAAATTTCCAGATGAGAGAATTCCATGTACCCAAATAACTCAGAACAAAGACTTCTGATATTCACACTCATTTGTTTGTTTATTGTTTTTTTTTTAATTGCAAAGTCAGATACCCATAAAGGAGGAAAGACAGAGAGGAAGATCTTCCGTCCGATGATTCACTTCCCAAGTGACTGCAATGGCTGGTGCTGCGCCAATCTGAAGCCAGGAGCCAGGAGCTCTTCCGGATCTCCCACATGGGTGCAACATCCCAAAGCTTTGGACCGTCCTCGACTGCTTTCCCAGGCCACAAGCAGGGAGCTGGATGGTAAGTGGAGCTGCTGAGATTAGAACCGGCGCCCATATGGAATCCTGGTGCATTCAAGGTAAGGACTGTAGCCACTAGGCCACAGCTCCGGGCCCAATAGTTATTCATTTAAAAATAGAAATTAGCTGTTGCTTGGAATTAATATAGTTGAAATACATTGTGTTTTTCTTTAAAAAAATCAAGAATGTAAGCACTGAAAGAGTAATACGTCAAATGGAAGGATTTAATTTTTAAGAGTCTTTTAATGCTGTTTTCTCTTTTAAACATATGGAGTATATTAGCAAGTTTGTGCAATATGATTCTCAATTTTAAAGCAGTTGGTATTCACAAGCATTCACATTGGACATTTCTCTTTCATTATGAAATATGTGAGTATTATAAAATAGTGCATTCTTATTTCAGATATGAACTAAGTGTAGCTACCTTTGTTTCTTGACTCCAACATTTTATTAGAACAAGAAAGTTAAATGTATACTATTGATTGGACACCCATTCTTGGGATTTTTCTAGAATTATTTAAGTGTCTTATTTATGGCACAATATGAGCCAATTTACTCCAAGGAAGAACAAAAGGCTGAATCTTCTTTTTTCTTTTTATATAAAGCTAAATTCCTATTGGCAAAGTTAGACCACCATACGATGTAAGCAGTACAAGTTAATCGAACATGATAACTCGAAATGAATCAGATAGCCAACAGACCTTAAAAATTGTCAAAATATATTCTGTTTTTCAAAAAAATCTTAACAAATCTTAATATTATTGCCTTGTTAGAGATCTATATTACAACTGTGTAGAGCTGTGATTATTAAAATTTCGCCAAACGCTGAGAAAGCCCTCAAAATATTATATTAGCCTAAAGTTAGGTTTTCAGTTGCACTGAATTCTCAGATATCTGACTAAGATAAAAAATAGCCCAGTTAAATATTAGCAAATTGCATTATGTGTTGTGCCTCTTGTTGGCAGCTGGCTGTAACGGTAAGCCGTCTGTACGTTATCAATTTATCTCGATTCCTTCCGAAGTGGTGCCAGCAGTAATAATCTCAACTTGACCTAATGATTAAAACGCTGTGAAATAATATGGAAAAGCCATCTTCCTAAATGTCTCCGTTTGCACATCAGAGGGTGACGTTACAAATGATTATCGCCAAGAGACACGTTTCATTCTGGTCATGTCTTTCTTCTTAAAAATATTTTCTTTGTCCCATTTAAAATTCATTGCCCTTATTCATCCTTTCAGGCACGGAAATTAAAATTTATGATCACTAAATCATGGCAGCATTCTTAGACGAGATTGGATTAACATACATTTCCCTCGGCAGCTTTCTCAGGAACATCAGAAAAGAAATTCATAATTTATAAGCATTTTTGCTTTATTTGTGACATTGTATTGCAATTGAAACCAAAATATTTGGTTCAGATAATGTTTGAAATGAAGATCAAGATGCACAGTGTAATAATTTGTTTTGTTTTCATCTACTGTTTATAGAAATGTGTTACTTTCCTTATTGACACATTCTGATTGTCTTGATTCATATTGACTGTGTACGTATCTAAAGATAGCTATAACATTAAATGTGTCAACATAGGTAACCTCAAGAAGCTTAAGAAGCTTTCCTACTGCCGGGATTAGAACCAGTGCCCATATGGTATCCTGGCGCATGCAAGGCGAGGACTTTCGCCACTAGGCTACCGCGTTGGGCCCACGATATTTCTATGCATGCTCAGGGAAAATCTGAACCTTCCTGCATTGCCACCGGGATATCCTCTCTTGTTTCTCTGTATTTGGAAAGAAAGGGGACTGTGTGGCCAGGGGTGTGATTTCATTGCGGTCTTACATAAGGACAGCAGGGAACACTCTCAAGACCTTGCCATTTGATTCATACTCACCGGAGTGTTGGGGGCCATCCCATGTAGGGGGCTATGTTTTCTAAAATTCACGTAGACGTTAACAATCAGCAGCCTGTTTACCTGATCTGGAGTGTGCACAGCCATGCACGGAATCAAGGATGCAGAGTCACAACAACAGCTTGGAATCAGGTTACATAGAGACGCAAGTTAACAGACGAAGATGCAGTTAACCCGGGTCAAAGCACCTTTGGGTGCTTTGTCCAAGTCACGTGACACAAAAGTGAGCCCATGCCTCTTTCAATCATGAAGGGAAAATGGTTGAAGAACCCAAGGTAGATATTCACAGTATGAAGGGACGGCATGGGCATTTTTAAAAGTGTAAAATGATGACAAAGCTGTGAAAAAAATTGCCATTAGGAACAAAATCAAATATTAAAAATCATGTTTGCATAAGCCAAACGCAGCGTTACACAAAGGTCATTTGCATTCATCTCCAAAGAGAGTTGCAATTGAAAGACCTGTGTCATATCCTTCACTTTCAGCAGCTCCTTGACAACACCTTGCAAATGTCTCCGTAGGTCAGTTTCGCTTTAATATACAATTACTTTCCACCCAAGCATTCTTTCAACAGAGGCACTTAACTTAAATCAATTTCTATAATTGAATAACTGAAAATTATCTCATCACTCCAGTTTCACTTAATATCTCTGAAGTATTAAGGAAAACACTTAAAAATGTCCCAGATTCTTTTCATCCACCTTCACCACAAAAACATAATTCCACAAAGCCTGGCTCTCTGAGCAGTGTACTTTCTACATGAGACTTTTTCAGTTTGAACTGGAGGAAGAAATAGGAAGCGTGACAGTATGGTCCTACTTCAAAGTGTCCATCTTTAACCTGGTGAAACAAACGAGAGAATTCATTTTGTGATCCTCTAATTTAGTAAGCAAAACCCAACTTGTCATGTCTCACACTGGAATACACAGATGTTTAACTCATTTATTGATTAATACTGATGCTTACTGAATCTCAAACCCGCTTCAGAACAGCAAATATCAGTTATAAATGGACCAACCAGTGGCCTAAGCACTGCTTGAGCATACCATCTTCCTAGATGTTGTAACTACATCTAAAATTAAAAACAACAACAACAACAAAAACCAGAAACATAGTGCTTAGCTTGGCCATATAAAGCAGCAGCACTGGAAACGTAGCAGGAACTAAACGAACAGCTCTTTTTAAACGTTTACTTCCTCATTTTGAAAAGCAGGAAGGGAGAAAGGGGGAGACACAGATGTCCCACCCGTTGGCTTACTCAGTGCCTGCAGTGTGTGAAGCGGGGTCAGCCAAAGCTGGCGCTAGGAACTCTATCCCTGTCTCCCATAAGGAGGGCAGGGACCTTCTCCCTGTGCAGGCGACTGCATTAGGAAGCAGGAACCGGGAACAGCGCTGGGGCTGACGCACTTGCACTTCGCTATTGGAGGCAGGTGCCTAGCCATTATCTGTCTGCCCCTTGGTAAGCAGCTCTTAAAAACGTATGAATTAGGTTATTTATACAAAAAGAGGAGAGGGAGCGAGGGAGGGGGAGAGGGAGAGAGAGAGAGAGAGAGAGAATGAGAATGAATCATCCATCAGCCTGTTCGCTGTCCAAAAGGTGAAGTCTGGGACAGGCCAAAGCCAGGAGCCAGGAACTCCATCTGGATTTCCCACATGAGTGGCAGGACCACTGCCTTCCCAGGAACGTTAACAGGGAGCTGAATGGGAAGCAGATCAGCCAACACTCAAACCCACAGTCTCAAAGGATGCTGGTGTCACAGGCAGCAGCTTAACGTACTGCACCTACCCAGATCTTCTCCTGAGCAATTCTTGAATGACAGAAAGAATATCATTGTTTGTTACAGAGTCTTGAGGGGAAGATATTGCTTTGAGAGAACAACCATACGACAGAAATCCCTGAGGAAATAAGGTTATAACCTTGGCAATCTAGTATGACTAAGAATTAGAGATACGAGCAGATATTTGAGGTCAACAATTTGATCCTTTGAGCAAAGTGAAAAGATCAAATGAAATATGTTGACTTTTAGTGAGTGAATAAGCAGAATATACTGAATAGATTATTTGAGGCATATTAAGCAAGGAAAGATTTAACAAAAACAATTTAGTAATTTTGGATACTTCATGGAAAGTGACTAGAGGAGAAACAAGTGTGGAATTGAAAAGATAACACATGTGACATGGGATGGTGGTTTGTTCCAAGGTGGCAATTTAAAATAATCTAGGTATAAAATATATTTGAGAAGTAGAAATTGCATCAACAAGATGGAAGTGTGGGCCAGGTGTTAATAAATCTCCAAGATTTGAGTACCTTTTGAAACAAGAAGTCACTGAAGTGTAGCCCCAGTCTACTTCTAACCCGGAGGTGACCGTGGAACCCAGGTATCCCTGAGTGCAACGTAGAAATACTAAACTGGGTCTTCAGCAATGACCTGAATGTCCAGTTCTCAGACTGCCTTTAATAAGCCAGAGTACTAAAGGGGCTATCAGAGGGCAAGAAGAAAAACCAAAAGCCATTTGATATGCCCAGATTTATAAACCGTTCCATACACTAATAAGAAATATGTGTCAGGATTCATCCAGCACATTGAAATTCCTATTCAGCCTAAATGGTTCTCCATCTTATTTTTTTCATTCCTGATGGGCATAAAAAAAAAAAAACCCATCCAATCTCCAAGCAGGAAGGGAAGTTGGTGATGCAGCACTTTTTTTTTCTCAGCTGGCATAGTGCTGACTGGCTTTTCCACTCAGTGCTCTCGTCCTCAAGCTGGAAGGACAGGGCCAAGAATTAGACACCCAGGCTCAAGCTTGCCTGACTCAGGGTTGCTCCAGCAACCCCACACAAGTGGTCAATTGACAGATGGCCAGCTCTCTGCTTGTCTGCCTTTGCAGGTTAACAAGATGCCCATCTTGGTGGAAGCAGGCTTTCAGTTTCCATTTAAGCCTTTAAATATTCCAGAAGCAGATTGTTCAGGAGGTACGGGATGGCACTCGGGTCCTCTGACACTAGTGCTGCTCAACCCTTTTGACTTGGACAATGCAGTTTCTCTCTAAAGAAACACATACAAACACACAGAAAGCCTCATACAGTTGATGGGATATCAACCAGGAATACAAGAATGGTTGAGATCATCTGAGATTCGATCACATGTAAATCAAACATCCTCATTCCCCATAAACTTTAGTATAATAAGTCAAGATCTGGCATCTCATCAGAAGCCAATGAGACATTGTGTGAAGAGCAAAGGTCAGGTCTGAGATCCATGTCCAAGCTGTGTCACACGTTGGGGGGTCACCAGTAAATCCTTTCAGTAATGGGGAGTCAGACTTTACTTCAAAGCCACATTAATAATGAAGGTGATAAGACAGCTGAGGAGCCAGTAATGTAATAGCTATGCCTAAGTCATAATAAAGTTTCTTATCTATATAACGATTTAAATTTTTATTTATACCACTTCATTGGTTATCACTAGGAAGAGTCTTCTTCAGGCTTCAGCTGCCAATGTCAGAAACTGCCTTTCATCTTACAGCTCAGAATTTGGATGTTGGATTATATGGTCTGTCTGTAAGCCCGAGGTTTTTATTGTTTTACCCTACATGTGTTTCCCAGTTTACAAACTGCGTTGTTCATTTACACATCAACATCAAGCCAAGAGCTCTGTAAGCTTTCACACAAGTTTATATCTTCACAACCTCACCTCGAGGTGTCACAGTCAGGTGTTGAATTTGACAGAGTACAAAGGAACCGACCAATGGCACTTACCTCTGTCACTGTCATAGAGGTAGGCGAACTTGTCCCACTGGTAGTACTCAATCAAGCTGAGGAGTGCCCCTTTCATGTCAGGTCTCATCTGAATGACAAATGGATGGGTACCATCTGTGGGGAAGCTGGGAGTGATGAAGGAGACGTGGAGAGTTCCACAAAATGATGTGATGGTGTTTACAGACTTCTTGTCATAAAATCCAAAAATAGCATAGACTCCTCTTGAAAACTGAGAGCAGACTAGAATAGAAAACACAGGAGGAATAAGTTATTATGGTTAGCATATAGTCACAAGGATTTGCTTGAAACCATCTCTTTATAGAAGTTCAAAATCATTAATAGATGGTGCATAATGGTCACCAAAATTTACAAGTACATCTTAACATTCTTTCCGAGGAGGTCAAACTGATCATCCTTCAAAAAGGATTTCCATTTCTTTTTAAATCATCAGGCATAAAACTCTTCCCTTTAAAAGATGATGAAAATGCTCTGGAGATAGTAAAAGTGGTGGTTGGGCAACACTGTCAATGTACTAAATGCTAATGCTTTGCATGCCTTAAAATGGTTACCGAAAAATTATATCATCTCAACAAGAAACTTTAATGTCAAAAAGGAGAATAGTTCTGGCTATCACATACGGATTATGGTTTGACACATGTCCGAAACATATTTTAGGAAAGACACAGAAAAATGTGCAAAAGAAATCATGAGTTAATAAACTAGGACACAAACTGGTGTTCTTGCTTCCTTCAATTCAAACTCAGACAATATGTTTTTGTTTTGTTTTGCTTTTTTTCATCTGGATTAGTGAACTAGATATCCGACTGCCCTCTGTTTCCATTGTATCCCTTTCATTCAATTCTCCGTGATACGATCAAAATGATTTTCTGAAGCAGATCTTTCGATACCTCTTTGAATAATAATTTTAAGACTAATTCCCCAAAGGACTCTAAAGAAACCGCCTTCAAGATAGCCCTAGGACCAGCATTTCAGGGCTACCACATGGCTTTGAATAAAAAAAAATAGTAATGGATGTTTCTCCATCCCAGAATGCAAAGCAAGTGTCCAGTAACACAATCCAGCAACACGGAGCATAATGCCATTCTTAATCAATCAACCCTGTTTGAAGAATTAGACTAATATGATCTAATTTCCTTAACAAAATAGATGCCTTGTCAAAAACTTGCATTGTTTTTGATTAATTGGACTACTGCTAAAATATGTGTAAAGTCTATTAGCCAATCTAGAGAATCTCTAATAGGCTATCACTTTTAGTAATTGTTTATAATATGAAGTGAAAAGATAGCAAGACCCTATTTATTTGAGTGATCATCATGTAAAAAGGATTTCCATTTCCTTTTAACTATTCCTGATATTCAGTTCTAACCGAAGCAGCTTTTTGCGCCTTATCAATATAACCTGTTTGTTGGAATCATTTTTTATCACCAGTCTTTTGCAAACCAGACTGCCATTTCTCAGCAATTGAATGTATGTTTACATTTATTTTATCTAAACATAAAGCAAAGATGAGACTACCTGTTTTTTATTCTTGTTCATATATTTTTGCTCTGCTCTGGGTGTAGAATTTGAAAATAATCTTTAATATGTCAAAACCCTCTATCAATAATTCATAGATATGAAAAACTTTCATTGTTAAAATGCTTCTAGGCAAACTGTAGGGTGATTTTTTTACTTTGTACAATGACATATGTGTACTGACATACAGATCTTAAATTTTAAATTTGCTCAAGTTTTTGTTAAGGCTTAGATCCTGAATTGATGATTCCCTGTGACATATTAAAAGGGAGAATTGCTATAAAATTTTCTCTGAGTCCATTTGATTTCATTTCCTGTAAAGCACCGGCATGTCATCCAGACGCTCTAGGAACATCACGCCATGTAATTTATGAGCAAAACCTCTTCTCATCTTAACTGAAATGGCTTCTATGATGGAAGTAGCAGCCAGCGAAAAAGCAGAATGCTTGATAAAATGTGCCACTGCTTGGCTACGTGGGCACTCATGATCAGGAGCCATCCCTTTCGCCTCCCATTTGTCTTAGGTTCTGGAGTGAGCTGTCAAGGGACTTCCATGCTTATCGCAGCCATCTGGAAATGCTGGCTGAAGCCCAACAGGCACAAGCTGTACAAAACATCCCAAGAAAGTGCAATTCACCTAACACGGCAATTCTCCCATCACTTCCTCCAAGGAAGTTCAGCTCATTTGCTAATGAGCAGACTTTTACCACATCAGCTTTCTGGATAATCTTTGGTCCTTCTCAATGTCCCATCTTTTTTTTTTTTTTTTAGCATTTTGTGGCATACATTCAATTGTTTGTATGAATCCTCAATTTTTTAATGCATTTGTCTCTTAAGGTTCCCTTACTATGCATGCAATTAGTAACCATTTGGTCAACATATCTCATTTCTCCATGTTTATTTACTTGTTCTGTCTTTAAGTAGGTTGTCACTGAGATTAACAACCACATTAACAATCAGAATGCTGCCTTAAGCTAAGACAATTAACACAGTTGGCAGTGACTATCTAAAAATGAAAAACTGGCTGCCATTCTTCTGTATTTTACTTGTTAAGTATTTATTTATGAAAGGAAGAAAGAAAGAAAGAAAAAGAAAAAAATACAGAGAGAGAGAATCTTATTTGCAGTTCATCTTCAAAGTGGACAAAGTGGTCAAGACTGGTTCATACAGAAGCAAGGATCCAGGCCTTCCATGTTGGTAGCAGACACCCAAGCCCTTGGGGCCATCTTTGCTGCATCCCTAAGGATATTAACTGGGGGCTGGATTGGAAGTGGAGCAGCCTAGAAAGTCCCAGGCTGCTGAAATGCAAGGATTGCAGACAGCAGCTTAACCTGAACCACAACACTAGAATCAGTGCATTCATTTTAACACCTAGCCTCAAATCCCCAACACTGCAAACTAATATCACTACTCCTTACCAAAAAAGGATACATCAAAAAGTTCATGCAAAACCAAATTAAAAATACAGTGTATTTAGGCATAGATAATTTTGAAATATCTTTGTAACTTTGTTATGGCATATATTTCCACTAAAGGTTTTGAACACTTATTATGGATACTGGAGTCTTTTGTCACGCTGCCCAAGGAAATCAGTTGCAGTTCTTTGAAATTATTTCTTCATGATTAAAAGTGAAATTAGTCATTTCATTTTCATCTCTACCTTATTCTTCAGTGGTGTTTGCAAACTCTAAAGCCGTTAACAACTTTAGATCTATCCTGTAAACTGCAAGGTTTACTATTACTGATGCTATCAACATAGCATGTTTTTTTTAAAGAGTTACTTATTTTAAGAAGACCAATTTATTTTTAAAAACAATTATAGAAAGATAGAGAGAGATTGGAGGAAGCCAGACAGTAAGAGAGTTTTGTCTGTTGATGCACTTCCCTTTAAGCCACAGCGGCTGAACCAGCTCATGCTGGATATGGGAGCATAGAACACGATATTGGTCCCTCACCAGGGTGCCAGGGACGAATACCTAAGGCATTTTCCACTGTTTTTCCAGGTGCAATAATAAGGTGCTGGGTAGGAAGTAGAGCGACCAGGACTCAAATCAGCACCCTATGGGATGCCCGCGTAACAGACAGTAACATAACCAATGGTGCCACAACGCTGGCACTCAGGCACAACTTTTGAAGTGAGTTACACAATACCAGCATGTTGTACAGTCATCTCTGGAGGAAAAGAAGAAGGAGACTTCAGTTTGGTCCCTGACACTATGACCCATACACTGCTAATTCTAGAATAATTCTAGTGCATAGAATGCATTCGCTTTGAAACTTAATCCCGATTGCAAAGGCACTCAAACTGAATTCTCCTTGAATTAAATATTTAACAGCAAAGGCAAGTGCTTGTAAAAGACACGTTAGGTCAAACAGAAGAAATGTTGGTCTCCTGGTTGTAAGCAACTTGCTCATTATTTTACTTTTTGTTACTACGGGAGGTAAGAGCCAACCCCAATGCTGATGGTGCATCTGACATGCCTTTTTCTCTTGGATCACGCCGCTCGTTTGCGCTGCTAATGATACAGTCTGGGATGCTTTCATGGACAGGTGGACGAATCGCTATGATTCGCTTGTGCTCTTGGAGAGGGCTGCAACGAATGGGGTAGCTAGAGCTTTTCTCCTAGTCTTGACAGTTGGCTTCTAAAATTTCAGCCTCCCTATCTCTCATTATAAAACTTTTAATTGTGTATAAGTTCCACTAGTTCCACGAAAAGAAGAAATTACTGAAATTTTTATACTGAAAAGTTACATTTTTACTATAATTTCCCTCTTTGCTCATCACGCCGTAACTATTTCAATGATTTTGGTTCAGTGATTTAGAATAATGAATTTATGGATCTTTTTTGTCGGGTTCCTGCTGTCCACCAAAATGTGTCTTCTTCTACTGCATTTATTCCACATTAACCAAGCATTTTAAGAATCCACTGTGCACAATTCCTGGTGTCAGGTAGACAGCATTAAGCAAGACAGGTTAGGTACCTAATTACATGAATTTAGAGTAGCAGTATTTTTTGTAAAGATTCATGTATTTTTATTGGAAAGGCAGATCAAATTTACCAAGAGAGGGAGATACAAAGAGAAAGATCTCCCATCTGCTGGTTTACTCCCCAAATGGCCACAACTACAGAGCTGAGCTAATCCGAGCCAGGACCATCTTCCCAGTCTCCCATAAGGTGCCAGGTCAAAAGGTTCTGGGCTGTCCTCCACTGCTTACCCAGGCCACAAGCAGGAAGCTGCATGGGCAGTGGAGCAGTTGGGATACAAACCAGAGCCCATTTGGAATACCAGCACTTGCAAAGTAAGGATTTAGATATTGAGCTATCTCACTGGACTCACTAGACATACAGAGAGAAGTAAAGACAGAATGAAAGATCTCAAATATACTGGTTCACTTCCCAAATGGTCAAAATGGTTGGAGTTGAACCAATTCCAAGACAGGAGCCAGGAGCTTCTCCCAGGTCTCCCATGTAGGTGCATGGTCCCAAGGCTTTGAGCTTTCTTGACTGCCCTCCCAGGCCACAAGCAGGGAGCAGGATGGAAGTGGAGTGGCTGAGTAATGAACTGGTGCCCATACAGGATCCTGGTGTTTGAAGTGGGAGCATTAGCCAGTTGAGACCTCACGCCATGCCCTTTACAAAAGCACATTAAAGTTTAAACTAAATACTCTAAAGACAAATGCTGGTGCCCATGGAATCATCAAA